GTGCAAGGAGAGCTGGGCTATTAATGGATTTATGGTTTTTTGGTTCAGGGGCAAGTCTGAACGAAGTTAAGTTTCAGGTCAAACCAAAAAAAGTTTTCTGAAATTTTCAGCAAATCAAAAAAAGTTTTGGCTGGACAAAATGCTTCATTTTGATTTTGACCATTTAAAACCTTAATTTCCTTAAATTTTTTTTGCTCACAAAGTCATTTTGTACAAAAAAAAAATCAAAATGTTGTAACAAAGAAGTTTTAATTTTTTTTACTGAAACAGTTTGGTGAAACTGACACAAACCACTTTGGTGTGGCTGAAGCTAGATGGTTTGCCGAACAATTTTTTTGGTTTAAAACAAAAAACAAAAGTCACTCAATTCTAGTTACATGCAGTAGCTAGTCTCCCCTTTCCCTACAGAAACATCACAAAAGATTGGCCCGCTTCTAAAAGGAATTTCACTCTAGGCCTGGGACCTAATTCACCCCCTACTAAACTAGCCTTGACTGGATGCCCTAGATTGTGTGGATAACAAAAAATGGCTTAACCTCCCCCCTCCCCCCCAGGAAGTCAGTCACCTAAGCAGAGAATTTACCCTAGATTTCTAGATCTACCTTGTGCTCATAAAATACCTTTTCTCCAACCACATTCCAAATGCTACTGAATTAAATGCCAACACCCATGGGAGGCAGGTATATATCAGCCCATTTTATAGAGGGACAAACAGGCTCAAATTTTCAAAACTGGTCTCCAAGTTTGGGTGACACCAAGGGCTTGATTTTCAGAGCTGCAGGGCACCCACAGCTCCTGCTGACTTGACTTGAACGTGTGGGGGCTCAGTGCTTCTGAAAATCAGACACAGGGGGCCTCATCAGGGGGGCAACCAAAATAACTCGCACAAGACATCTTTGAAAATTTTGCACTAAGTAACTTCCACGGTCACAGGGCATGTCTGTGACAGAGCCCCAGGAGGCCAGATAATGGGTCCCAGTCGAGTGCTTCACCTCCAAGATCACCCTTCCTTTAAGAATATTAATTACATTTAATTTAACCATACAATAATCTCCCACTCACCCAGCTCTGCTGTATGGTTCAATTGGAAGGCTCTCCTCAAATGGCTTTTAGGATGTGCTTCTCCCTGACAGTAGAGTTGGTCACATTCAGACTGGAATTGTGCATCTGAAAAACAGAATGGCCTTATTTCAATTTGTGGTGCAAAGGTGTCCACAGCCCAAAGACCATCTAGGATTCTCCCCCCCACCCCTTGTTGGCAGCCACAAGGGGAAGAACAAAGACCAAACTGTCCTTTTGTTGTGTGTACAGCGCCTAGCGCAACGGTGTCCTGGTGCAAGACTAGGGCTGTAATTATAATACAAGCAACAATAAACGGACATAATTCTACCACTCTACTCCGTGCTGATTAAGCCTCAGCTGGAGTATTGTGTCCAGTTCTGGGCGCCACATTTCAGGAAGGATGTGGACAAATTGGAGAGAGTCCAGAGAAGAGCAACAAAAATGATGAAAGGTCTAGAAAACATGACCGATGAGGGAAGATTGAAAACATTGGGTTTGTTTAGTTTGGAGAAGAGAAGATTGAGAAGGGACATGATAACAGTTTTCAAGTACATAAAAGATTGTTACAAGGAGGAAGGAGAAAAATTGTTCTCCTTAACCTCTGGGGATAGGACAAGAAGCAATGGGCTTAAATTGCAGCAAGGGAGGTTTAGGTTGGACATGGAAAAACTTCTTAACTGTCAGGGTGGTGAAGCACTGGAATAAATTGCCTAGGGAGGTTGTGGAATCTCCATCATTGGAGATTTTTAAGAGCAGGTTGGACAAACACCTGTCAGGGATGGTCTAGATAATACTTAGTCCTGCCATGAGTGCAGGGGCCTGGACTAGATGACCTCTCGAGGTCCCTTCTAGTTCTCTGATTCTATGAAGATACTGAACTGTCTTTTTTAGTCCTAGAGGTACCTAATCTAGAATAGCAAAGCACTTTACCGGGAAGGAGCTGGCATTGCTGCTGCCTTTGCTCTGCCTGGTCTTCTGTTTGCCAACGGCCTTTGGTCTCCATGGCTATCGAGCTCATTTTCTTTCCCCTTTCAGGAAAAAAAGGGTGCATCCGTTTCACACTCACACGCCTCTTGCAAGAGAGCGTAAGGGAGATGACTCGCCACTGGGGCAGCAACACAAGGGACTGCAAGTAAACCAAAATGGAACCAGATTCATAGAATCATAGAAGATTAGGGTTGGGAAAGACCCCAGGAGGTCATCTAGTCCAGTCCCCTGCTCAAAGCAGGACCAATCCCCAACTACATTATCCCAGCCAGGGCTTTGTCAAGCCGGGCCTTGCTGGCAGGTAAAATCAGAAAGGTTATAAACGAGGGCTGTGGGGGAAAGCCGACAGGCGCAGAGGAGCACAGGTGGACAATGACATCCCATAGGGAAGGATTTATTAAAGGGGATACTCGATATCCTAAAAAAAGAGGAGAGTTGAGCAAAAAAAAACAAACGAACGGGAGTCCCATTCATTTACATCACATGAAAGCAG